CCATCCATCCATCCATCCATCCATCCATCCATCCGCTTATCCGGGGTCGGGTCGCGGGGGTAGCAGCTTCAGTAGGGACGCCCAGACGTCCCTCTCCGCAGCCACTTCGGCCATCTCCTCTGGGGGAATCCCAAGGCGCTCCCAGGCCAGCCGAGAAACATAGTCCCTTCTGCGTGTCCTGGGCCTCCCCCTGGTTCTCCTCCCGTTGGGACGTGCCTGGAACACCTCACCAGGGAGACGCCCAGGAGGCATCCTAACCAGATGCCCGAGCCACCTCAATTGGCTCCTCTCGATGTAGAGGAGCAGCGGCTCTACTCTGAGTCCTCCCCGGATGACTGAGCTCCTCACCCTAACGTTAAGGGAGAGCCCAGACACACCACGAAGTAAACTAATTTCAGCAGCTTGTATCCGGGATCTCATTCTTTCGGTCATGACCCAAAGCTCATGAACATAGATGAGGGTAGGAACATAGATCGACCAGTAAATCGAGAGCTTTGCTTTTTGGCTCAGCTCTCTCTTCACCACAACAGACCGGTACAGGGCCTGCTTCACAGCAGACGCTGCACCAATCTGCCTATCGATCTCCCGCTCCATCTTCCCCTGATTCGTGAACAAGACCCCAAGATACTTAAACTCCTCCAGTAGGTGCAGCACTTCCTTCGCAACCTGGAGAAGGCACTCTACCCTTTTCCGGCTCAAGACCATGGTCTCAGATTTGGAGGCAATGATCTTCGTCCTGATGAAGCCAAAAGAACCACATCATCTGCAAATAACAAAGATGCAATCCTAAGGCCACCAAGACAGATTCTCTCAACACCTTGGCTGCGCCTAGAAATTCTGTCCATAAAAGTTATGAACATAATCGTTGACAAAGGGCAACCTTGGCAGAGTCCAACCCTCACCGGAAACGAGTCAGACTTACTGCCGGCAATGCGGACCAGGCTCTAACACCGGTCATAGACCATAGACGGTCAGAGACCTAACAGCCCCTATTTCATGGCCAGTAGTCATTTCCAAATGTTAAATCAGTTGTTATCCCTCCATTAGATTAATATATGCTGAATAAAGTGGCAGAGGTAAAATCCCTTTGAAGTTCCATTACCTTGATGATGCCTAATGAGCCTGTCAGTGACAGAGAGAGATACACAGCACTATTGTTCCTTTGCTCTCAGGTTTTTCTGAATGGGAAAATGGCTCAGTACAAACGAGTGCTGAAGACAAACCGTAAATGGTATCCAAAAAATAAAAAAATAACGGTTTGCCTTCAGTAAATGTTTTTTTTTAGATACCAAACCATAAATGGTATCTAAAATATCTATTTTAGTCTAAGCGACAGCTACCCGTTGTCTAAAAAGGTTTGTCACACCTGCTCGTCTCATTAGATTACATGCAGCTCCATGTTAAAGCTGAGCTCTCAAAAGCCAAACAAGCCCTCCGAACAAATGAGTGGTGAGCGAAAACCGTAAATGGTATCTGAAAATTTGTTTCACCATGAGCGTCAGCTATCCCTCGACTTTGGTTGTGCCAACTTTCATGTTTCTACTAAAAACTTGTTTGTTTCGAAAGATTTCAGTCTGAGACTTTTTCCCAAAATCATTATTTTCCTATGCCAGAACAGCTCAGCTAAAATGTTAAACCATAAATGATATCAAAAAAAGTCCTTCAATGTGAGTGCTAGAGGGGTCTGGAGATATTTTATACCAACTTCCATGTTGTACATGAAATGGTTAACAAGTCGCAGCAATACGAAAACAATTGTTATTTTGGATTTCCGTCTGTGGTTCTTTGAAACTCTTTCATTGGATTTCTATTGGGGGAGTGTGGAGTTCTTTGTGGTCTGGGCCAAACTACAGGAAAAGAGTAAATCCCACACAA